TATTATAGGTAAAAAGGCGGAATATTGTAATCTAAAAGCTGTTTTGATGACATTGTTTCCAGCAGAAAAATGTTGGTTCAGACTTACAGTTCAAGGCAGTTCCATTTAGGGCTATTACAGTGGTGCCTCGCACAACGAGTGCCTCACACAACGATGAATTCACAGAACGATGTTTCACACAACGTTGATTTTTTTGGAACCAATTAACATTGTTCTGTGAGGCACCACTGTATTATGTGCTTCTTAGTCCCATTCTGATTTTCCCTATATATATATATATAGGGAAAATCAGAATGGGACTAAGAAGCACATAATGCAGTGGTGCCTCACAGAACAATGTTAATTGGTTCCAAAAAAATCAACGTTGTGTGAAACATCGTTCTGTGACCCACCATTTCTCATAGGAATGCATTGAAAACCAGTTAATCCGTTCCAATTGGAACGGATTAACCGGTTTTCAATGCATTCCTATGAGAAATGGTGGGTCACAGAACGATGTTTCACACAACGTTGATTTTTTTGGAACCAATTAACATTGTTCTGTGAGGCACCACTGTATTATGTGCTTCTTAGTCCCATTCTGATTTTCCCTATATATATATATATATTTATTTTCCTTTCTGAAGGCAGCCGTGGTGCTGTGCATGGATGTCGGCTTATCGATGAGCAATTTTGGGCCTGGAGAAGAGTCTCCTTTTGAACAAGCCAAGAAAGTGATGACAATGTTTGTGCAGAGGCAGGTAAAAGAACTGGGTGGCTGGCTGGCTGGCTGTGACAGTAGTAGTTACCATACATACATGAAGACCTCCTGTAGAACATGGGCCCATGCTGTGTTTTGTCCCAGCTCTCTTCTGTAATGTGAACCAGTATCTTTGCCTTGATTCCAATGTTCATTGAATATATCCCTCAACCCAGCTGTAGTCAATCCACCATTGTGGAGAAGATGGAAGGGTATATGGTTGCAGGTTTCAGTGGTGGCCGGGTGGTGCCTTTGCACAATTAAAACTAGTGTGTCATCTGTGCCCATTTCTTGAGAGGTCTAATTTGGCCACAGGGACACATGCCCTAATTACATCTTGATTGGATTACTGTAACATGCTCTATGTGTGCCTGCCTTTGGAAAATGTTTGGAAACTTCAGATAGTCCAAAATGCCACAGCTTGATTGTTAACTGAGGCTGGTTACAGGGATCATGTGAAACCCCCAGCCCATTACAACAGCTCCACCAACTGCCAATCCATTTCCAGGCACAATTCAAAGTGCTGGTTTTAACCTACAAAGCCTTAAATGGCTTGGGTTCAAGCTGTCTCAATGTCCACTATGAGTCTGCCTGGGCATTAAGATCTTTTTTTTTAAAAAAAAAACCCTCCAAAATATGGAATACATCCTCTGGATTAAAGTTTTGGATGGAATTATGTGGTTTAAAAGGCCTTTCAGCTTGAGTGCATGGGGTGGTCCATTACTTCAGAGCCAGATATGGGAGGAGCAAAAGCCTCACCATCATGAAACTGGGGGAGGAAAAGGGCAGTGAGTGCAGGAGAGCTGTAGCCCTGGATTGCGTCCATATAGGCAGCATGGGGGGTCGGGGAGGATAATTTATTTCCTCACAGTGACAGCTTCTTCCGATGTTCCTCTTCCCCTTCTGACAACGATTGCAGAATCAGACACGCAGGGTCCTCAGTGCTAGTACGCTTATGCTTGTGAGCTTGGATCATGGCCACTTCCATTGTTATGAGTCTTCATTCTTGTTAGACTCCTCCAGCCAGTTGCTTGAGAAGTGATTTCTGTTTGCACAGATACTTGAAGCTCACCTGCAAAGCTTCAAAGCAGCAGATGGTGGACTGGCTGAACATTTAACACATCTCAGTTCCTTGTGATCAGGCCAAAGTTTTCAGCCAGCCCTCCTACATCTGTGGAACTCCATCTGTGCCGAGTCCAAGGTGAAATTATCCATCGGTAGCAGAAATAAAGAACTGGTCAGCAGCTAAGACTAGGAAGATTTTACCTTCCACTCACACATCCTACAGTGGGGACAGGCACAGTCCAGGGGCTGCATGCGATTTCCCCAGGGCTTTCTTTGGAGGCCCCTAATTTGTCAAAGTCCCTTTGACACCCCCCCAATACATATATCAGGGGGGTGTTGAGATAGGAAGCCACTGGACACTGTTTCTGGTTTTTGTTGGGGTGCCGTAACAGGCTGGATTTGATGTTTAAAAAATTGATTTAAATCACAATTTAATTTTTTAAATTAATTTTTTGTCAATTTAGATTTAAAATGGATTTTGTTTATTTAAATCAATTTTATTTAAAATTTTCATTGATTTTTATCCACCCTGCACTGTAGGTTATATGTTACAATTCTCTCTCACACACACTCTTTTCTTCTCTCCTCCCTGGGAAGCCTCATTTCCCATTTCTGGAAGCCTCCAAGAGTGACAATTTTGCTTCAACCCAATCAATCTGCAGTGCTTCCAGCAAAACCAGAAATGCCATTCAGGTTCTTCTTGTTTAGAGGTCTTAAATTTTAGTAATCTTAGAACGGCAGTGCTGGAAGGCTCCCCATGGATCATCAAGCCCAGCCCATCAACAAAGCAGAGTGGGGGATTGAATTCCCATTCTCTGGATCTGCAGCCGGAGACCTAAACCCCTGGGCTATCCAGCAGTTCTTCCCCTTGATGCAGCCACCGATGGGTCCCATAGTTGGTCCTTGAACCCATGGAATTCATCCACCACTGCTCTAGAAAATACATCCTGTTTTGTTTCTCTAAATTAGGGGCTGTAAAGGGAAAAGAGGGCAGACCTACCTTTATCACTGTTTTCTAGCCTTTAAAGTCTTAAGCACTGTTTCCAAATATTGACTTCTAGTTCTTAACAGTGGTTCTGTAGCAGGGTATGAAGCCGAAAGGCAATTAACAAGCATGAGGTATGGAGCTACTGAGATAGTACGCAGACTGTCGTAACTCAAGCTTAGCTGTAAAGTTTATACTGCTCACTTCGTATTTACCACCTCGTCTTTTTCCCACCTCCAGGTGTTTGCAGAGAGTAAAGATGAAATTTCCTTGGTTTTATTTGGCACAGAGAACACTGCAAACAGTCTTGCCAGTGGGGATCAGTATCAGCATATTGCTGTCCACAGGCACCTGATGCTGCCAGATTTTGATTTGTTGGAAGACATACAAAATGTGATTCAGCCTGGCTCCGAACAGGGCGACAGTATCCTTTCTGAATGTTGAACACCTTTTAGGGAGCTGAGAATTGCATGGCGACTGAGACTGTGTCGGGAAGAGAATTTCCAAATTGCCATGTTAACAGAATTGCTACAATCCACGTGGTTAAGCAGTCTACTGAGGTTTTATGGTCTTAGCTTAGTTGATTCCGAAAAAAGTGCATTTCTTTCAAACAGCCCAACCAGAATAGTCTTTAAAGGACCACAACAGTTTGTCCTTTCCTTCGCTGTCCCTCGTTTTTTGTTTATTTTCTCCCTTTTACTCCGTCCACATAGTGAGGAAGAACAACACAGCAACCTCTTTGGAATCTGCATTCTTTTGTCCACGAAGATTAATTTCTTCTTTGATACGAACCTGAGAGCATCTTGTGGACAGGGGACCTCAATGCATACATCATCTCTCCTATCCTTGAATCATCTCTAGGTTGCGTATACAAGCTATGTTCTGATACTGAATTGGTCAAGGTTTAAACTCTACTGCCTTATCACTTCTCTTAGGATTGAGAAGCAAAGGTAATGATGGGTATATACAGGCAGAATTCAAATGTTAAGTATTTTTGTCTCAATCAACCAGATACACAAAATATGGAGAAAAATGAATAACTGAAGCCAGCCTTTCAGAGCTGTTACCAAGATTACAAAGAACATGCCGCAGATGCTTTGAATTCTTCAAATGCCCTAGAAAAGTATGAAATACAATAGGACCTCTATATATATCAGGGGTCTCAAACATGTGGCCCGGGGGGCATTTGCAGCCCCCTGGATGATAGTTTGCGGCTCCTGCCTTGCCTCCCCCCCCCGAAGCGCCCATGCATCCTCTGCTGTCAAGAATAAAAAAAAGTCGCCTTGCTCGCTGGCTCTCTCCAAAGACAGCACCTCTTGCACCCTCCATCTGGAACTGCAGCCTGCTAGTCTGCTGGCTGGCAGGCTGCAGTTCTGGATGGAGGGTGCAAGAGCTGCTCTCTTGGGGGAGAGCCAGCGAGCAAGTTATGCTTCCAGCCCTTTTCCCCAAGTACCCGAGCCGCTGCCTCCTCCTCAGAGCCCCAGCCCGGCTAAGAAAACTCCTGTCTGGCTTCCTTGGTCTCTTGCTCCGCTTGGTGGAAAATCTGATGCAGCCCAGCTGCTACTAGAAGGCGCCAGAAAGCATGCTATGTATTCTTCACTAACTAGTATTCATAGCATGATCTCTGGCTCCCTCTAGTGTCTGGTTCTGATAATAAGTGTAAAAATAGCTTTTTTCCCTTGAATTTTTTCTGTTGATCTTTTTAAAATTTTCAGACTGGATAAGTAAAACCATGGATACTGATCCCACGGATATGGGAATATGGGAGTCCTACTGTATTGCTATGCTATCTGAAGGCTTGCTGCAATAAAGACCATGCCCCTGTCAATGTATAACAAATCATGGTTTCGTTATCTAATACTTTTCCTTAATATTTTAAGTTCTTGATGCCCTTATCGTATGCATGGATTTGCTTCAGAAGGAGACAATGTGAGTATCTCAGCCCAATCAGTCTTGGATACTTGTGAAATAGAATTTTGAAAAAAGCAAACGAGTGCCATTTGAGCACTTGAAGCTTACATGATGGGCAGGGGAGATGCCAGCTTTCAAAATGTTGCTCCACAGTGAATATAAGCAATGGGGAGACCCACAGTTATTCCCCACCCTTATTAGACACCATTCGCCATAATAGGCAGAGCTCTCAGAAAAGAAAGAAAAACATCTCCATGCATTTTACCAGAAATCTTGTAAATTTAATGTGTTTTGTGACAGGTACCCGTTGAGTCCAATGAAGGTTTGTTAGTTTAGTGCAGAAAAATTAGAATACCTCTCAATTAGCATTTGTTCACCCACATTCAGCCTGGAAATTATTATATTAATAACAAACAGTTTCTCTTATTAAAGGATGACAAACCAAAATTAGCAAGTGCTGGTTTTTCGTCTTCACACTGTTCTGCTCTTATCTCGTTTTTAAACTGTTAAAGTTTACCCACTTACACTTTTATAAAGCCAGTTTACAAAATTTGTTCTCAAAAGTAATGAACTGCTTTGTTGCCA